TTTTTCCAGCCCCACAGCCTGTTCCTCATCTTCTGGATTGAAATTATTCAAGGGAAGCCACACAGCTGTGGATCTTGTATCACTTCTCTTTCCTCTTACAGTTGTGCCTTTCATAGCAGAGATTTGACATGGCTTTTTGTGTTACAGAGCTTGCTGTAATATCCATCCCATCCTTACTCCCAACAAGGTGACTTTAGTTCTTCTGTCCCTCTGAGGAGTTGGAAAACAAATTCTTGAAGCCTGAGAGGGCTGTTTTCCCTTCAAAACCCTTATTACATATTGAATTATAACCCTTCTTTTGTTTGTGCTTTCTTGACAAGGATCAAAGAGCACTTTCAAAGCATAACTTTCCCCAGTGTGTCACAAACCTCCCTACCTCAGTAGGTATCTTACTGAGGGTGAAAAGAGTGAACCAACCCCAGAGAGGCCAATGAACAGGTTCCCAAAGATCGTCATGGGCTCTGTATCAGGTTAATTCAGTTAGATTGGCTCACTGAGAAGTACTTTCTCCTTCAGTCATCCCACTGAGATTCTGTGCGGAAGTTCTACTGTACTTTGAATTCATACTCTTATTTGTTTTATAATAGCTGACCCACGCAGACAAGTCCATACAGAGAATTCCTACCCTTCTAGTTGCATTATTTTTAGCCAGAGTTGCTTAAAATTATTCAAAAGGGGCAGAATTAGCTGAGATTGGGCATATGGGGAGAGGAGGAAAAGTTGTGGATAACTTTTTCAAACATTCCATCTCTTACCACCTGAAGGACTATAAGCATTTGGACCTCTTGTGTTATTTTCCTTTAATCTGTCTCTCTCTGATGTAGAGCTTTGGGTCTTGAAGGACACAATCCTCTCCCCTGTCTTTAGGTGCCCACAGCTGAGCTGGTCACCCACCATGTCCTCCGAAGCCAATGGAGAGAAATAACAAGTTTCAGGTGCAATTCACATCATGTCTCTTGGACAGCCACATTAAAATGTGATGACTCCAAGAGAAATGACGCCATCGACTTAAAATGGAGCACCACAGTTTAGATGCCTAGATATTTGTCCATGTGAATCTCACCCAAAGAATTGCAATCTGTAGTTACACTCACCTGCTGTCCAGCTGAGGCTCTTTTATGGGGCTTTTTTGGTCTTGCAAGTCTGGCTGGATAACACAGTGCTGTAGGTCATAGGAGCAAAGCTATGAGTAAGATGAGTTTCACAAGCAACAAATTTAAGTGGTATTTTTAAAGTTGCCATCAAAATGCTTACTGTTAGAAAAAGAAACAACCAGGCAACCTGGCCAATCAAAAGCTATCTATAGGTAGGTTATTTACAGATGGAAAATTGGCAGCACGGAAGAGAACTGGGCAGGTACTGCATGGGAAATACCGGCTGAGCCTAATGGCTCTCCACCTTACCAGCCTGAAACCAACCAGGGACTGAAGGACTGAACCCCATTTGCTGGTACAGGATGCTTTTCTTTATTGTCACTTCCCCAAGCACCTTTTCCAGGTTTTTTTGCTCATCTGTAATGTGAGCAGACACTCAGGGAAATCCCATTCCCACCCTCATTCATTTTCAGCCATTTTCTTCCCCTTTCCATTCCTGTCTAATAATTCAGCTTAAGACCTTGACTTACAGGGTTGTTTCAGGCCTCTCTACACCCACTCAGAAATATAGCCCTAGTACATGATATCATTGCCCTACCAAGGAATCACTTTTCCCTGTTGTGCTGGGAAGAAAAAAAGCCACACAGAAATTGAAATGCAGCTAAAAATATGGAAACTTGCACAGATGCCCTTATACCATAAGGCGCTGTGATGAACTAGACATTCAAAGTGTTTCTGGGTTATGGGCAAACGGTCCAAGGCATCAGACATGCTCAGGATTATTTTCCCTGGCACAGGCGAGTAGAAGTATTTGAGGAAGTATGCACGTATTCTTACACAAAACCATGAGTGCCAACAGAATGAGGTTCTATAAATCCTAACAAATGCTAAAGGCTAATGTAACTGCTAAAATAAAGCGTGCCAATAGTGTGCAAATTGATTCTAGCTTGGGGAACGCTATCAAGCTAAACGAGGGCTGGTAAATTTGAGCAGTGCTATGGAGTCTGCAGCACGAGGGTCACTGGGTGGTGAAAGGATCAATCCACAAGCAGACTGGGGAAAGCTGCTGATTTCTACTTGGTTGTGTGTGGGTTACGTATGTCCTAGCTATCACCCACCAGCATTGTCTTAATAGTAAGTATGTGTATACACACACGCACACATACATAGGCATGCCTCTTCTTGTTTCCAACACAGAGGATGTGCAACAGGGCAGAGTTAGGTTAGGAGATAGCTGATCTCGCTGCCCTGAGACCATTGCTCAATGAGCTCTTTCCTGGTTGAATTCCTAAAACAAACGCAGCCCACCTTCACACCCAGCCTTCCCTGCACAGCCAGTATCGACACACAAGGGGGACAGCACACAAACAGGACAAAGCACATACAAGGCACCCTCCTATGAGGAAACTGAGCAGAAACGGCAAAGTCTGACCCAGCTTGTCGCTTTTTCATTTCCTGCTTTCCTCTCTCCCCTTTCCCGAAGGACATTGCTCCCATCAGCATGTCCCAGCTCTCCCAGTGAGCCTTCCTTTTGCTGCCTGCCTGCCATGCAGTCCTGCCAGCTGCCTGCGATTGCACCTGCCTGCTCCATTTCTGCTGGCAGTCAGCAATCCCTTCCCACCCCGCACTCCTGCAGGACCTGGCCCCTGCCCAGCAGCCCCAAGGACCCTGAATCCCCCATGCAGAGGAGGACTCAGTGGCAGAGATTAGACAGCCTCTCCCCAGTGCTTCCTCCTTGCTTCTTGCTCTGGCATTGCAGCTCCCCCTCTTTCCCGATGTCTCTAGCCTCCACCCACCTGAAAACTCATCTCTCTGCAGAAAAGATTCCCAGGGAAGCCAGCTCCAGCTCTGGTGCCTGCATGCCAGTTAATCTATGTCGTGTTTCACCTCTCTCTCGCTAATCACTCTTTACCGAGCTTCCTCTCATGCTGCTGTTTCCTTTCCACTTCATCTCTCAGCCTTGGCAATGTAAGCAGGGCAATTCCCACCTAGGGGGTCTGATTGGCATAAGAGCAGTAATACCCTCAGTCCTTTTAAATGTGCCCACCCATAAAATTCTGGGTCTATGGTAAGAGCGTACTGTGTGACAGCCAAGTCCTCTCCTACCTCTCTCTCTGACCCTCTCTTTGAAATGATCGGCAAGACATTATTTCCCTTCTTACCTCTAGGCACGCAGTCTCCTAATCTGTTTTATCAGTGCTCAGTATTTGCTGTCAGATGATTCACTCATCACTTCCCTGGAGTTCAGCCTTGATTAGCCTGTGAGCTATTCTCCTCCAAGAGAGCGAACAGAAAAATCCTTTTGTAGCAGACTTTGGACTAACCCTAGAGATATCATTATAACAGGAAAGTAGAACTGAAAGTGGTGTTCGCAGGCTACACCCACAGAAACTATCATCTTGTGTGTATATACGTATACACATACACACAGGAGTGTGAATATATACATGTCTAAGCACGTACACAGATATACATATATATGAATATGTCATATATACCCAACACACAGACAAGTGTGTGTGTATAAGCAGATTTCCCCATTTTTTCAAATACTCACTCAGCCCATGTGCCAATGCTTTGCTATTTCACCACTAAATAATTGCATGTCTAAAGTTCAATCAAGATTCATTTAGGCTCTCCTGTACTTAAGCTCTAGCAGCACAAGCAAAGGGGAGCATGGAAGCGCCGAGTTAGAGAAACCCACACCTAACTTTATCCCCTCAGAGACAATTTCAGGTCTCCACAAGAACCTCTAAAACACAAGAAACCCACAACAACTGTGACTCCAGGCACTCAGGGTGGGACCAGCTATCTTAATATAAACATCTGCATCTACCTGCTTGTCTAGGTTCCCTTTGAAAATGGTGAAGAGCAATACAGTAGTTCTAGGAGATACCTCATACTGAAGTAGAAAGATTAATTGCCTCTTATCGGTGTGATTTTCTTCACTGGTTATAAAGGAAGCTAAGTAGAGCTGTAAGGGGTGCACGGCCCAATGTTTACTTAAATGTGCTGTGCAAAGTAGAAGAGCAGAAACAAGAAGTGACCCAGTCTGCAACATCATCTAGCCCACTCATTAGAAACACAACCTCACACCCCACAAATAGAAGGCTTCAGCTATTTCTGTGGGAAGGCAGAAGGGAACATGATGGTGGACCATGAAGGAGAAACAAGCATTCACAGGGAGAAAGAAGCCTAAGGAAAAAAAGAAAACAAACAGTGATTTAATGCCTCTGGATTTCACCACAGACATTGTACGAGCTGCCAGGATGCTTCCTTCACAGGTATTGAGTAAACCCCAATCTGTGCATGGTGGTATGGACTCTGGTGTAACTAGCCAGAATAGCAGACTTGTGAATGCAAGTATGTATTCAATACTGTCTTTTTCTGTGTTGCACAGCGATGGCAGGGCTTCAGAGGGCTTATTTTAACGTAAGTCCTCAGGTTTTTTTCATAATTTAATTTTAATTGCCATGCTATGCATGATGGCACTGAAAATAAACTAAAGGAGAATAACAGACACGGGGGAGCACTGAAGCACTTGGCTTTTATTTTCATTTGTAAATTGCAATGCCATTGTTAGGAACTAGTTGGGGATGTGGTAACAGGAGGAAAAAGTACAGAAATACCCTACATACGGCTAAACGTATTTAGAAAAGTATATCAAGTCCAACGTGGCTTCCAAATATAATAGTTATTGGCAAGGATTTTGAAAGATCAGAGTATCAAATCACTGGAAAGCCTGAAGTGGGTTTTTCTCATTTAGTGAGATGATAATTATTTCTATATAAAACAAAGCCAGTTATCCTTAGGCAGAAAAATAAAAAAGAAAAATTTCTTAGCAGGAAGAAACACTGACACATATCCTTTGTGGAAATATGCTGAAATAGGGACTGCTGGCTTGTTCTACAACTTCAAGACCCCTTTCAAGTTTTCCCAGAACATCTGCTGCTGCTCTTCTTCAAGAGGCCACTCCAGGTAGGTCTTTGTGTTCATGATCTTCCGCAGCTTGCAGAACCTCTTGGGAATCGCTTTGCTCTGGATGGGCTCCAGGAGGACGAGAATCGCTGCATCGTTGTTCTCGTCAAAGAGGCGGAAGTGCGAGAAGTCCAGCTCGTATTTGCACCACTCGCTCTGCACAAAGTGCTCGGACAGCACAAAGAGCGTTTTGTGGCTCTTCTCTATGGAGTCGATGATGTTGTCCACGATCCACTTCCCAGGCACAAAGTCCCGCTTATGGAGGCAGAGCCGAAACGGGGGGCAGGCCTGCTCCAGCTCCCGCACCATTATGTTTTCCACCCAGTCGGAGTCATTCTCGCTGTAGGAGACAAAAGCGTCGTAGCAAATGTCCTTCGGAGGGGCTTGCTTGGGCTTCCGCTTGGCTTGGAGCCATGCCCAGGTCATTCTCAGGTACCAGACCGCGTGGTACTTGTAGCCGACGGCCACGAGGATGAGGATGACCAGGAACACCAGGGCGCAGATCAACGACACCACGAGGAACGTGTGGCACTCCATTAGGGAGAGGTGCACAGCTCCAACATGCACCCCTCTCACTGCCAGGGGAGAGTCACAGACATACTTGTCTGGCCACCCCACCAGCACCTGGGCTATCCCGGCCTGGTGGTGGATGAAGGAGAGGAATTCACAGGAGCAGATGAAGTTGTTGTCACTGGCATCCAGCAGCTCCAGTTTCTTGAAGGACTCAAACCCTTCCCTGGAGAAACTGTTGAGCTTGTTTCTTCTGACTGACATGACCACTAAGTTAGGAATGCGTGTGGCACCAGGCAAGGTCTTCAGTTGGTTTTTTGCAAGGTACAGCTCTTTGAGAAATGGGAGTTGCAGTCCAAACTCCCTCAGGTTGTTAGCGCTAACATCCAAAACTTCCAGCGTCGGTGGGATGCAAGTTGTTAGTTTAGGAATTTGAGTGCTGGAGAGGTTTAAATATTGAAGGTTTTTTGGCCATTCACACACATCTGGAATCTCACCAAACTTATTTTGGCTAATGTCAAGATTAATCAGTTTGGGTAGACGAGTTACAGAATTTGCAGTCTGTTTCAGAGATTTTAGAGAGTTTTGACTTAGATTTAAAGTTTGCAATGAAGGCCAAGCATCTTCACAGATTGTCTCATTTAAGCGATTATTTACAAGCAAATTATCATGAAAGTCCAGATACAGAAGTGATGAAAAATGTTTTGCAAGTTTGCATGGTACCATGAAAACTCTAGAGCTTGCAATGGTGAGGCTTTTCAGTTTGTTTATTTGTGACTCCATACCTTCCAGGTCAAGAAACAAATGAAATTCCTGAATCACCATATTTATTACTGTTACTGTTTCAACTAAACTTTCCCCACTGCTTACAATTTCTTTAGTATCCCATGCTCCTTTTCCCTCAAGTACACAATCAATTGCCTCTAATACTCGTAAAGATATGATTTCCTTCACTAATACTGTTAGTCGGCTAACATATTGATCTGTGAACGAAGCATCTTTAAATGTAAGTTTTCGTATCGTAAAAGGAGGTGTAGAGTTCTGCAACAAGCTTTTTTTTTCAATCTCTAATTTTATTTCTCTCACTTCTAACCAAATGACAGAGTGCAGAAGGTCCCTGACAATTGCTGAGAAGACATTAACACTTCTTAGGTTTATGATCATGTGATTTATCTTCTTAATCGATTTCAAACTTCCTGGCTCGTACTGACTGAGATTGCCACCGTCAATCCACAACTTGTCCAGAAGCTCAATGCCCTCAAAGTTCCCTCGCCTTATCGTGGAGAACTGCGGGTTGCCCAGGTGGAGAGAGCTCAGGTTCCTCAGGTTAGAAAAGGGGGAGCTTTCCCCCAGGTCTCTGTAGGAGTTCCCTTGAAGGTGAAGGTGCTGGAGCGAAAAAAGGTGCCCAAACCACACGGGGGACAAGTGAGCCAAGTTGTTATCTGATAAGTCCAAGCGCTTCAGTTTCCCAAGGGACTGAAACGAGTCCTCTTCTATTGAGCTGATCTTGTTGGACTGCAGCAGCAGGGCTCTCAGGTTCACAGCCTGCTGCAGGTCCTGGGATCGGATGTGCTTTATCCTGTTGTGGGCCAGGTTTAACACTGTGATTTTGGCCGTGAGCCCTGGGGGAATGAAGTCCAAATCCATGGAAGAGCAGTTGCAAAGCTGAGCGGCATCGCATGAAGGACAAGTCTGCTTCAGTGCTTGCTCTTTGGAGAAGTTTGCAGCTAAGACCATGTAGATGGCCCACACTCGCCAGGTGTGTATAGTTCTTGATTTGTGTTTTGTTTGGTTGAACATTTTGCTGTAGGAAACAGAAAGAAGAGAAGGTAGTGTTGATTTTTAGTTTTGAACAGCAACTGAAAACAGTTGAAAACCTGTGCAATTTTATTAGGAAGTTCAGATTCAAATTTTTTCTCGTAAAAGTTATCCTATGATGTCAGTTTTCCTCTCCTACTTCAGCTGCTCAGCCCCACAAACATGGCGTGCTACTCATCTCTGAAGTACAGCCATACCGTGTCTCAACAGTGTATGGCTATAGCTCTCGCCTCTTACATCTCTCACATTATGCCTCCTCTCAGCAACAAAGCTACAGCTGGATGTTTCAACCCTAAACAGGGGAAGATAGTTAGATCATCAATGATCTGAATGAAGGGATCGAGTGTGCCCTCAGTAAGTTTGCAGAAGACACCAAGTTGGGCAGGAGTGTTGATCTGCTCGAGGGTAGGAAGGGTCTGCAGAGGGACCCGGACAGGCTGCATCGATGGGCCCAGGCCAATTGTATGAGATTCAACAAGACCAAGTGCCAGGTCCTGCACTTCGGCCACAACAACCCCATGCAGCGCTACAGGCTTGGGGAAGAGTGGCTGGAAAGCTGCCCAGCAGAAAAGGACCTGGGGGTGTCGGTCGACAGCCGGCTGAACATGAGCCGGCGGTGTGCCCAGGCGGCCAAGAAGGCCAACAGCACACTGGCCTGTATC